CTCTTTGCCCTACAACTTGCAAAAACACACTGCTTCACTGCTTGGGTGGCTTAAGAGACTGGTCAATCAAAATACAAGGATCTTTTTCTCCCATAACAATGTTAAGATAATTCCAATCAAAATTACACTTATAGTTTAAATTATGACAACCCCAATGCAGCACCTTGCATTTATTATAATTTAAAGCCATCTGTCAGTTATTTGTCTAACTCAACAAATGAATAAAATCCTTTTTAGCTATGGTATAGTGGCTCACAAAATGTGTCCGAGTTTTTTTCAAGTACAAACTTTTTAGTTTATAGCTCCGTCACCTCTTGACCAATTTGAAATCTAATTACAGTTTTGGACTCAGGAGGTCAAACTCTTTCTATTGATGTATTTAACAATGCCCAAGGTCTTATAGATTAATTTACTCTAATCCTACTTAAAAGAATTTCAATTTGATGGTAGGCTGGCAGAGATCCTGATGAGTAATAAAATCAAATCGGGCATACGCGTGCTACATGCTTAGTATTGCTGGTGCACAAAAATATAGCAAATAAAAAGGAAAAAAAAAGGTCTCATAGATTAATTTACTCTAATCCTGCTTAAAAGAATTTCAAGTGCTGCAGCTATTGAGGATTCCCTCTTGTTTTAAAGCAGCAACTCTTACCAGAGATAAAAACAAACTTAAAAAAACAAGTGTGTAAACTATTGTGCCCTATAAAAAGAGTGAAAACAACTCAAAATGATTAATACAAAATTGTGTGGGTGAAAACGTGCATGGTTAGTGAAAATTCGAGGAAACTATGCATCTTCCTGTGTAAATTTAATGATGTCATTCTTTGATCTTTGTCAATATCTCGGACATGTGTTAGTGGACTGTCTTAAAACATGTTTATATTGGCTACGTATCAGCAATAAATCCTGAAAATTTTATGAAATGAGATTCTGTGAACTGCATTTGGTTGATCAATGCAACTTACGGATGAGTAGTAGTTTTCACAATACTTGGTCTTTAAGCATTTTATTGACCAATCCTTCATCTATGTCACTAATGTAAATCTATCAAAGCAAAGCTTGCAACACTGAGCTCAAGCTCCAAGGTACCTCACTTGTGACATTAATCCAGTTTGACTGAACTCTGTTTATAACAACCCTCTACTTTCTTCCCTCTAGCCATTTTTTTATACAACAAGCTAACATATCCCCCCACATCCATTTAACAAGCCTTTCATGTGATATGTTGTCAAAAGCTTTCTGAAAATCCAGATATATCAAATCCATAACTTTACCATCATCAACATAAGCAATAACTTCTTCAAAGATAAGTAAGGCAAAAATTTTCTGTATTGAAACCATCTTCACTATCCAAAAAATTTTCAATTTGTCAAATGAATGAGCAAAGCATCTTTCATTAGACTTTCAAAAATGTTCCCCACCTCTGATGTAAGACTAATAGGCCTATAATTATATATACAGTTTTTATAATTTGTTTTATAGATAAGAGTAACTTTAATCAACTTCCAATCCTCTGACATATGCTCACTATTCAAGATCTTACAAAAATTATATTAGCAAATGGCTTACATATCCAATCATTAAACACCTTCAAAAGTCTTGTCATTCTTTCAACTTCCAGATTTTTTCTTAATAAGTTCCAAATTAATGTGATCATTTTGTTCAATCATGTTTCCTTCTAGCAATTGCTCAGGATGCGAAATACCAATAGATGATAGGTGATTTCAGAATATCTTATAATAATAATTATAGTCTAAAATACATCTTACCTGTCTACCACTAGGTGAAATAATAAAGGTGGACACTTCATAAACTGTGTCTAGAAGTTTTTTTATTGCACTAGCAATTTCCCTGGAAATATGAAAGCATTTTTATGAATGAAAATTATTAAAATTGTAAATGCCCAAAAGACAAATTTTACATGACATTGTGTGTTTGTTAATTATATTGTTAAGAAAGAAAAAGTTACAATTTCTACTTGACAATTATAATCTTATCATTTATTGAACTACAATAAAGACCATGGCTACACTAATACATAAAATTAATAATGATAAAAGACTACATTTTTAAAGAAGTTAAAAACTACCCATTAATTATGAAATTTGTATCAAATTAGTAACTGATGTCTCTTTGTTTTGGGTATTCTATTGTTAGTGATTTTGTGATAGCTTTCTTTTAAAAGAAAAGACAATAGTATATACAGTAACACAAAACAATCTGTTTCTGAAACTTTAGATAACTTTTTAAATAGTTTTACCACTGCTGGAACAATAAAAATATAAAATCAGTAAAAAGGATAAATAAATAAATAACAGTCTATATTAAATTTAGAGGATCAGATAAAAACTTCATAGTTTGCAACATTTTTATACAAGTGATAAAGACACTTCTCATAACTATCTATAAAGATAACTATATATTGAGCTTTTATGTAGATTAGTCGTCTTGCAGAATCTAAACCAGGTGTACTATAACTTTAAGCTGGAAAGGATTGAGTCAATTCTGTTATTCAAAAAGACATTGATAGATTTTGTGATTAGATAAGGAAACAAATTTAAATATTAAGTAATGTTCATGGGATGTTGTATTTTGGAAAGGATTTCCTTCCAGTGTATATGAAGTTTTATATTAAGATGGAAAAAGAATTTAGGTGTGATATTAAAAAAATCCTGAAGCTTTCTGTTGAGTTCTTAGCTGTGGTGAAAAAGAGTATAAAGTGTGTTGGGTTTTACTTATTAGAATTTTGGATTTAACAGTAAGAAAGCTATTGTAACCTTGTAAATATTTGGTTTGGCCTTATCTGGCACACTAATACAATATACAAACAACAAGGGTCATTTTGTCCTTCAAATACCTCATTTACGTACTTATGTAAAATGTTGGTCTCATCTAATGTTTACAGCAACTCATTCCAAATACCAATCTTTCTGTTTAAAAAATAAAACTGTCTAAACTGGAGCCTAGTCTATTCTTTCTAAATCTTAAGCTTAAAATTGCATCCAATTGTTTTCACAATATAGCACAAAGCCTTTATCCTACTTATCCCTGAATAACCTAGCAAACTTTAACAAGATCACCTCTTACTTGTTTTCTCAAAATGAAATAAGTTAAGGATCTGAGCCTATTCCTGTACCACTTCCAGCTCTAGAATCATCATAGTAGCTCTCTTCTGAAACATTTCCATAAGCCAACATGTTTTCTTAGATAAGCTAGGAGACCAAAACTTCACACAGTATTTTAATTGAGACCTAATTAGTGATTAGAAAACTGCCAATTTGGACCCCTTCCTACAGGAAGAGTACCAACTTGATTCGGATCTTTAACATGTTTAAGCTTCTGAAACCCAACTGCAAGCCTGTTACTCCAGAAAAGTGTATTTTGGTTAGAGTTATAAGCTCGTGACTTAGTTTCCTTAATTAAGTGGATAGTTTGAATTATTTTAAATTTTGTTTGGAAAGGTATGTAAACATAAAGGGCTACATTTAATCTGGTTTTGGTGGATAAGAATTGACTGGTGAACTAGCTAAGGGGTCTTTTGTTACCTTGTACTTTCTTACTTATAATATCACATACACAAGTGTTTCCCAAACTATTTTTTTCCAAAGGCATACCTGCAGCTACTAAAACAAAATCAGTAACACACCATTAATTGAGGTACTCATAGCAAAGTGAGAATAGATTGAAGACACAAACACTTGAAAAGCACACGTGGTTAATAAAATGTCTTGTAACTGAACGTTCACTTGGTCATTTTAATGTATTTTATTGTAATTCTCTTTTTATAGTAATTATAGAAAAATGGAATTTTTTTTATGCACACCATCAGCTCACTTGTGACACCTTTTATGAAACAGTGTGATAAACTACAACAGTTAAGAATAATCATAAGCAGGATTTTCTTGGCACACAACATATAAAATTCTTTTTGATGCAGTTACACACAAACAGTAACTTAATAATTAGTTGATGCTATGCTTCATGCCAAATGAAACTGAATTAAACTTGCTGCTGATTTGTGTTTCTACTTGTATTTGAAATCAATCCATAAAGTTGTCCATTTTAAACTGTAAATGAATGATCACTATAAAAACCATTTACTTTAATGTCAAGAAATGTAACCATCCAAATGTTAAGTCTCCACATAATACCAGCAACAGCATAAACTCTCATGAAAAAAAATCTAATTAATAATTACCTTATATGTACATGGTCCGTACATACACAAACTGAAAAAATTCCAGTTTTCCAGAATTGAATCAATAAATTTCCAGGAACAACCAAATGAATAATTTTAAACAAAAATGACTTAACTTGAAGAATCTATTAAGTGCATTAAGTCTTACACAGTATAATATGCAAATCAACCTTAGGCGTAGCATTAAAATGTCCACAATCATAGACATAATCAAAGCTGCTAGTGCTACTAGATCTAGTAGAACTATTAGTTACAGTAGTGGTACTACCAGGTCTAGGCATAATGGCAACAGGTGATTTCCCATCGCTTCTAGTCTATGCATGTTTTTTCATACAGCTGTCATTTCCCATTGTTTGTTAGCAATATTTAAATAACACAGTGTGCTTGGATCCTTTCATGTGGCTGCAGTTTCACCCATATTTGAGATGTTGAAGGTTTTCTTGCACACGTTGCAACCAGCATTGTGTTTGGCTGCACCATCACGTACAAGCCAATCTGCATATTCTGGTTTATCAAGCCATAAGGCATCAAATGTGCATTTCCAGCTAGGCATAGCTTTAATTTGCTTTATGTGTTTGTCCAAGCATTAAGCATGATAAATCAATGCTTTGAGCTTCAAGAAACCCGCGAACGCCATTTGTTAAAATTGTACTGTGCACACTTGAATTATTAATGAGAATAACACAGACAGTGCTCGAATCAGTAAATTTTTTAGGGCCTATGCATTATATACAAGGGCCTAAGTTATGACAGTTGTAGTACATCCGAGTGAACATAACCATGTAAATTTTTTTTAAATATTAATTTCTTGGGTTTATGTGAAATGAACAAAATTTTTTTTTTTTATAAATAGTAAATTAATTCCAGGAGTTTTCAGGAGCCTTTCTACATTTTCAGAATTTTTAAGCACTTTCACAAGAGCATGTTAGTTTTCCTGGACTTTCCAGGAATTCCAGGAAGCATAAAGACCTTGTATATGTAACATACACACACACACACCTTACATATGTGAGAAAATAATTGTTTCTATAACAAAGATAAATGCATTAGTGAAACTACATTTAAAGTTTGAAGGTCATAAGTTTTATTGCCCAAAATTTAGAAGATAAAAGCAAAATTATGTATTTGAAGCATCAGAAAAGTTGTACACTACAACAGTTGAGGCTACATTAAATTATTTGTACTTACTTGATAGTTTCTAGGAATGTTTTTCGATCATTTATTTCATCTGGAATTCGACTCAATATTTTTTTCAGGGAATACGCTTTTTTATTCAGTTCCTGGAAAGCATCTTCAGGGCGAGTAGACTTGTAGTCTTTTAAGTTATAAAATTATGTATGTTAGAGAAAATAAACAAATTAAAGGCTTTTTTTTTCAAGCAGTTCAAAGTAAGATTCATTCATCAAATAAATATATTTAGTTATATTTTGAAAACGTCATTAACACTGGGCAATTAGAAAAACTCATAGAAATGCTCTGACCCATAAATTATTTATTTAACCTATTCTTTGTTTCATAAAATAGCTATTGCAACCTTATTCCCAATTGTATTGCAAGTAGAAGAGAATATATGCCACAATGTAGAGTTACAAGCAACAGAGCAACAACTTACATTGTTCAAAAGTTGTAAAACTACTTTTCCAGATAAAAAGACGTTATAATTTATGAGTTTGACAATCCACATATCCAGAAAACTACAATGACTAAAGTGACACATTTTATTGTAAATTTCACAGATATTTACATTTTTACAGAATTGTACATATAGTCAGGAAGTAATTGGCATGAATAAATTAATTTTTTTTATATCACTGAAAAATTGCAATTTTTATAGCTTTCCAAGGTATAGAATTTTACTCTCTAACTTTTACACTTACAGCAGACAAGCTTTAACACGTTGGCTGTCACGTAATAAGTTAAGTATAAATAAAATTAAACATTCAAAAAGTGCAGAGGAGCAGTCACAGTGTCCCAAGCACATATGCCACATGAGAAATTTGGCTTTGAAACATAATTGTCTATGACCCACAGTCCATAACTAAAAGTCAGTTGTGACCCACCAATGGGGCACATGGCAGCCAACATCTTAACAACCACAAAATATACGTTTTTAAGACAATAACACTATACATATGCTAAAGCATAAAATACAAAAGATCACCAAACATTTGATAATAAATATAGAACAGAACAAAAACATGTACCTTCTGTCTCTGGAATACCTCCTTGTAGTTTCAATAAGCTTTCTGTTATGTTTACAGAAAGGTCAGCACATCTAATAAGACCCATTACAAAATCATAGGCAAATCCTGGGTTAGAATACTCTACCTACAGCAGAGTTAGTAATAAGAAATATAACTACAAGTAACATTTTAAATAAAGAAAAATAACATCAGTTTCTGAAAACTACAAGATATTATGCACTGTGATTTACAGAAAATAAATGTCATCAAATACGACTTTTAGCAAACCAATGGTGGGTACATTTATGTATCCTTCATCAAAGTAAAACTATAATTTTACATGATTTTACTCTCAAAATAATTAGGTTCAATTTCCAATTCATGGATGCCACTGTCATCCAACAATTCAAAAAGATTTTCTTAAGAAAATCAAGCACATTAATTAAGTCACTTATAGCTCTTCTACATGTAAATAAGTTACACATCTACTTGTTCATTAATTTCTGGTTGTGAAAAACAATAAGATAATGACTAGCCACAACAAAGGAATATGAAATCCACCATACTACCTTAGAAAGTGATGTTTTTAGAGCTTCAGCTGCAGTAGCATCTCTCCTTTCCAGCTAATAAAAAATGAATTATCTATTAGTTAAAACACAAAATAAAAATTAGAGCTACAAGTCTCTAACAAAATTAATAAATGAAACACCACTACTGTTATTAAAACATCAAGATTAATACCAATCATGATTGCATACAATATTACTAGTCTGACTTTATTTGAACTTGCCTCATTTCTTAACTAACACATGTAAACTTTATAGTACTTTGATCTATTAAGATCTGAACAGTGTTTATAAGGTTCAACTTGTAGTTAATAGTTGGGTTTTTGAGTATCTAATAAAGAAAGATATATATTAAAATAGATTTATATATTAAAGACTACTTTTAGTGCCAGAAAACTCCTCAGCAGGAAATGTTGTGATACAGTTTTTAATTACTACTTTTTATAAATTTATTTGCAATATCCATTACATAAAACATCTGACAAATGCATAACTTACAATAACAAGAAACCTTTGTATATATACTTATAACTTTTTCAGAATTTTGGAATGCGACACAACATACAGACCTAGTGTTATTATTAGTCTAAAGCCCCTTACATTTCATTAAATGGGTATACTTTACAATCTTTTAGTCTTAATACCTTGAGAAATAATTGGTAGCAACTGTTCTTGGGTATGATTTGCTTACATGCAATGTACTTTAACTTCAATACTAGCTTACATATAGTTTTATGTTTATTACACATTAGACATACCAAAGGAATATTAATATGTAAATGAGAAAAATACACTACGAAAGTTAGTAGTTTATACCTGTGATATTACATTATGCTTATAAGTAGTATAATTTATAACTTATGAAATTGAACTATGTGTATCAATGTAGCATGTAGTAATTTTGGTGCCCTAATCAATGTATAAAGAGATCTTGAGAACATGTTATTCCAAAACAGAATATCTGTGGATGTGAATGCCTGTTAATTTTAAGGGGTTACTAATTTACTAAGACAGAAGTAGAGCCTTTTAATTTTTGGACAAATGTAGTGATTTCAAACTATCAATAACTATTATTATTATGTAAGCCAAAATATGATACAAGAAATTATAGTAAAAACCAGCATAATGTTGAAATAGCCCGACTTGTTTTTATAATCCTAGTTGGGATTATGACAACTATTTTGAGCTGAAGTATTTTAAACGCTTAGGTACTTTATTCCTCTTTATAGTATAGATTTGGAACTGATTGGATTTCTTAAAGTTAAAAGTTTCTACTATGTAACATAAATGATTAAAAATGTCTTAAATAAAACTGATCATGCTAATGGCTGAAAAAAAAAAATAATAGACATATACATCTTTCTTCTATAAAAATTAAAAAATAAGCCCAACACTTTTCAGAAGTTGCAAAATATGCTACTTTTTCCTTTGAATACATCATAAAGTTTATACTTATAGCTTCATTTCGCTCTCTCACTTTTAGATATTTTGAATGCCTGTGATTACATAATCAATATATAGGGTTAAAATCAAACTATTAGTATTACTATTAGTCTCTTATATTTGTACATTATCAATAATGTAAGATAAACTATCACTATCAGCCATAACGGGTTTGCCCTGAGTGTCATGTGTATTAATTAAGAAATTCAAGTTGAAAAACGAACTATCTGTTTGTGTTAGTGCTACTGTCATTTTTTAAATCACTATTTAAAATTTTGACTAGCTCAACATTCATAGCCTGGTCAGGCCTAATGCAAATATCAAGGTGTAAATGATGAGTCACTTTTGATTTACATTAAAATGACACCTGTCACCTACGTATGATTGCAATATAAAAATTTTACCTTATCCAATATGGGTCTCAAAAGTACTGGGTATACAAGATGATTTATCGGTGATTCCTCACCCATAGTCATGCTTCACACTGTACCACAACAGAGAAAACTGAAGTAATGTTAATTTTGTTGAAAACGTACAATAATTATTTTAGTACAAAAAAGAATACGACTATAGTATAATATTCTCACGTATATAAAAAATATTACAACAATAATCTTCAATGCAGGAAGTACGTCCTATGTTGGAACAGTGTCACCTATTGGTGTAAACTCGTCTGATAATTGATAGTAAACAAACGGTGATAAATAAAACAAAATAAAATTTCAAAAGCTGAATAAATCAACGTTAATTCATAAAAATATGAGCTCTTACATTACAAATACCATATCTTAAATGCAATTTTATTAATGGAGATAATAGTTTTAGAATGTGTCTTAATCTTTACCAATAAATTTGATTTTATGTTAGTTAAATTATTGTTGTGCAGTAGTAGCATGTATATTAAAGTAAAAAAAAAAGACACCCCTGAGATAGAAAGACGGAAAAGAGTCGGAGTATTATAGCTCTGCCTTGGCCTAGACAATAACTAGAAATCACCCTCATTGATCACATTTGGGTCATCCTCGACCGAACACTGCGAAAGTATCCAAATAAACCCCTTTCCCGAGATTGCTTAATAACAGATTCTGTGCTAGTAGTTGGTTGTAGGTCCGCAGACCAGATTGCTTATTTCGTCCACAATATGTGCAAAGTTGTTGCTGTTCTGCATAATGCAAAGAGCGGAACCACAATGTATAGAATCAATATTTGTATATGTATTTAGAATCTATATGAGATCACTGAGATGCTTTTACAGGGATCAACAGACAATGGCCCTTTCGTGCTCAATGGGGCTCAAGTTCAATGATTGAACCCTAAAAATAGAACTATCCGAAAAAAATGGTCCTAAGCTGTATTTGGTAAGGTTAAAATCTAAATTGTGTACTTGATTAAATATCCCAAATCCGCTTTGGGATTTTTTTTATATGCAGTTAAGCTAAAGTAACTTTTGTTTTCGAGTAATAAGCCTGAAATCACGAATCACCCTGAAAGTTGAAAAAATAAATTTACTTATTTTTGGGAAAATAACATGTTTTCGTTTTGGAATTTTTAGAAAACTAATGGCAGCGAAGCTGCGAAATCAAAGAAAAGCAAATTGTACAAGAGGAACACTCCAAGTACTAGGAAAGTCTTTTTCGCCTTCGTAGCTCCTTGGGAATCAAAAGGAGAAATTCGAGAAATAAAAAGGGTAAGAGGGATGATGTCAGCATTTCATATTCTTGGTTTTGGATCAAAATAACTAAAACGAGCCTTGTTAAATTACTTGACTGAATACATTTTGAAAAACTAGTTATCCTCCTGGATATATTCTCCTTTTTAACAACAAGCAAATTTGTCATAGTTCATTTCAAAAGCATAACATAAATTGCGAAACTTTATCATAACAGGGACGTGGGTTGACCTTTTGTTAGAGATCTCAATTTCGGAGTTGGCAAACAGAGTGTGAATTCAGGTAATGCTACAAAACATCCCCCATACTTTAAGCTGCGGATGTGTTATAAGAGTGACAGTCAATAGCTTAACGGATGGTCCTTCTGAGTGGCTACCTTCCCTCTGGTTAGTAGTTCAAAATTAGGGACGGCAGCAGATAGCCTTAGTAATTTTGCCATAAATACAAAATACAAACATACATTCTTGTAAAGAACCAGACAGTAAAAAATAAAGTTATAAACGTTGTTTTGACGGTTGCAACGGCGCGTCGAATAATAAGGAAGTTTAACTTCTGCAAGTGCATTCTATTTAAAACCTAATGCTTCTGCGTGTTGTTTAATTGATGTATTTGATTGAAGTTAAGCACAAAGCTATACAATGGGCTATCTGTGCTCCGCCCACCACGGGTATCGAAAAATGGTTTCTAGCGTTGTAAGTCTGCAAACATGCCGCTGTGCCACTGAGGGCTGTTTAACTGAAAAACGATAATGCTATGAAGAGGGTAATGCAATGGCTGAGGGTATGTTAAATAGTTAATTAATAAAGAGAAAAAATATTGTTGTATCGAATACATATTTTGGTATCGTTACCTGTAAAACGGTACTACTTAGTGGAAAGAAATGCTGAACCAACAGTGCACGGAAGAGAAGTTATGGTTGACTGAACTAAGTACACCAAATCGGTAAATTTGCTCACGTCGCTGTATTTATTACGTCAGTAAGAAGTTGGGCTCTTATAACTTGGCCAAAACTAGATTTTCAGAACGAAGTTATGACATTATATAAAGATGCTGAGTTTAATCAAGATTGAATATTATTTTCACTATATTCCGTCTTTATACCTTTAATCCTTCCATTTGTACCAAAAATATTTTCATCCAAAGGAGATATTTATGGGTTTGGATACGATACAGAGATCAAAATTCGGTTCCGTTGGTATCAAAAACCGCTATTTGTTCCAGGTCTAACTTTTCGATGACCACATTAAGTGTTGTGATGTCCTGACTCTCTTCCCCATTCAAAGGATGCCTATTTCCTTAGTTAAGTTTCCATGCTCCTTTTGAATTAATTTTCATTTCAATGAAAATATCTAACAGAGATTTGGGTATTTAAGCTTTTAGAAATATCACATTCTATAAAGAAATCTAACGATCTTGAATTAATCCAAGAATAAATTCTTACAAATAATACACTAATTACTTTTAACTAATAGTCTGCACATCAGTGCATGAAAAACCTTTTCACTATTAATCTAACAAACAATAATAAAATACATGTAGTGTTTACTGTAATACTAGCCACAACAACAATACTAACCTATAAAAATACATAAACTAATTCACACTATTAATCTGTAGAATATTGCGTACAATAGTCCCACTGCTAGTCTATACAAACATCTAAATTGATCTTGTGAGAAGTAAGGTGTAGTTTAATTCTTTGCAACATAAATGTAAACTAAAACTTTTTCAGCATTTAAGTGATTTCATAAGTAATATTGTAAATACTTATAAGACTAATTTTGCCAATGTGGCAAAGACTAATGGTGAAAATCAGTTTATGAATTGTTGCGTAGAGCCTGTCTAGTTTGACCCCACCATATTACTACTCCAGTATGTCATTCCAGGGTCAAACCCCTAAATATGATGTCAAACATCAAATAAGTCAAAATTATCGATTATACGTTCAAGCTAACTTACTGTTTCGTCTGTATTGGTGCTGCCGTTAATTTTGTCTATTAACGGGTCTAGAACACGATTGAATCTCCCCCTATGATAATATCATAAGTGCAGAATGTGTAGTTTTCTAGAACCCGGAAGAACTGCCTTCGTGGTGTATTTTTGTCAGGGGCGTAAACATTTACTAATCTAATGTTCCTTTCATTTATTTCTATTTCTAACGAGCACAGATGCCCGCACTCGTCATGACTGATAATTTGATTATTCCTGTCAATTTTAGGTGAATTATTATACCTGTCCCTGCTTTATTGGTGTAGCTGAGACATTAGTAAGATTTATAACTGAATTTTTATTAAAGTTTTTAAAATATTCTAGGCTATGGAAATGAGTCTTCTGAACAAATGGGATATCTACATTATATCTGTTCATTAAGTCATTTACAAATTATTGTTTCTTTTTTCTTTTTTAAATCCTTTTGTATTAAAAGTTAAAATATTTAGAGTCATGCAATAAGCTCAGACGAACATACAATCGAGAAGGTAAAATTAGGAAGAATGAAAACTTATTTTTCTAGCTAAACTAACTTAAACCTTTGTATCACCGTGGGATTGACCCCTTTCTCTTTTTTTTCCTCGAGGTGAATGATGGAAGCTATTTTTGTCTTTTACTGGAGGGTTGTCGTCTCCGGATGATGAGGGCTAGCTCATCTCCAGGTCTTTGATTAAAAGTTTCTTTTCGGGTTCTTCTTCGGACATGTCGCTTTCTTGTTCGTGAATAATTAACTTCTCGCTTTCTGATTCTTGGAGAGATTTAGCCTCCCCAAATAAACCGTTCACGAGGCATTAATGTTACCAACTCAAAAATATTGTACAGTATATGTGGAGAGAGATCGAAAGAGGGTGTATATGAGTTACTGAGGGGAGTTTATTCATTTAGGAGCACGAACTGATTCTTCCCAATTGTGCAACCCAAACACATAATAGCCTACCCAAACAAAAGATTCACTCGCCATCGATGGCCCAACGCGATATTAGGAGAGAACTTTTAATAAAGTGGCCAGGCACTGTTGTTTATTTCTGTTTTAGAAGCACAATTCTGAATTTATAGTTAGTTCTAGTTCGTAAATAGGAACATTATATGTTAAGTTAGTCCTAAATGTTGTTATTTATAGCAGGACTTACTTGCATATTTCAGCTTAAGTTTAATTCGGCTTTATTCAGTTTCACATCACTAGAGTTTCGTTTTAACGTTTAATTAACTTCAATCTGCCAGTTCATTTTTATTCAATTTTCTTTTGTCGATTTTATTTTACTTTTATCACTATGTGTGTTTATTTGTCTTGTTTTTGTAATTGCAGTATTTTTGCTTGCAGTTCATACCTAATTCTCATTTTTTTCATTGAACACTGGCAACAAATCGCTACACATATCCTTCTGCAGTCTAGGTCCTCGAATTTTTAGGTATTGTAGGTGCCAGTTACCTATGTGTTCTGTCTTCGGAGTCATGGAATACCATTCTGTTATATATAAGTCTTCAACTTTTTTTTCACAGCACATACTAAATGTTCTTCTGACTCTTAGATCCGATATGTTCTTGAAATTCTTGTTACAGGCAATAAAGTCCTGATCGGCTTACAAAATTCTGGTTTTTTCTAAGAAAATTATCAATATTTGGTACATTACTTGGTAGAAATTACGGACTTTAGAATTTAGCACCTTTAACAAAATGAGCCTTTTTGGGGGCTTAGCAATGGTGTTGTCAATCTAAAGCAATGAGTAGGCCGCAAATCTTTCAGTATTGGCAATTAGAAATTATTAAAATAAGTTAGAATTTTTAAAAATAGGTAATCACACTTCATAGTCCTTGTTGAACCACGCATCAGTTGTTCCAGTGGCCTAGTAAAGTCACGGAGCAATAGCCTATTTGTTAGCAGTCTGTAGTCTTTAATCTCTTGAATGACCGCTTCAGTGACTTAAAGTGATAATAAAATAGGCCAGAAACAAGCGTTCATAGGTCAAAGGTCTGAAGCCTTCATTTATACCATTC